CATAAAACAATTGACGATATCTCCGACAGCTTTGCCAGGCTCTACGGGCTGAGGCATTCATAAATGAATACGATGTCAGGCATACAACAGACATACACATGTATGGATGGCATGGTCTGATTCAATTATACAGTCACTTTCGTTTCGTCAGGGATACATCAGCCAAAGGCCAAACACCATTGGTGTTGGCAGTGTTGAAAATTAAATCGCTAGACCGGGAAATATTTAATTAACACCGATACCAGGTATCATATCCAGTATTCGATTAACCCAAAGTGACAATAAGTGTGTATGTGTGTGTGTGTGTGCGTGTCTGCCTATGTAAATTCACAAGCATTTAAGTGCATAAAAATTGAAATAGACACCAATGTAAGTCATAATTAAGGTGTTAAAGTGATTACAGATAAACTTTAATCGAATGAGGGAGGAGGGGAGGGGTTGGTGTGTGGTTGCGTATAACTTAAACTGTCATCAGCATAAAAAACAGATGTTGTGTGGGAATATATTAATAACATCATCAGCATTATTAAATGAAGGATATTCGTTTTTTAGGGGCGGAGTAGTGATATATAAAATATAATATGTTTGTCTATGATGTAATTAATTAATAAAATAATGTAATAAAGCAGTAATAACTCTTTGTGACATGCTATAAAAAATGTATTAATAAATATTTTCCGTGTACGCCTTTAAAAATATTTTTTAAAAAGCAAGTATTTAAAAATAGATTTTTTTTAAATACACAAATACTTTTTGAAAAAACTAAATATAAGGTATATTTTGCCTTTTTTGCCAGGACATTCGTTTGAGCTCAGCTCATTTTAAAACCAGTGAGCGGAGCAGTATAGTCGGACGGGGCCGACCATATGGTACCCTACACAACATCCACGGAAATGTAACTTTGTGTGGATGTTGTGTAGGGTACCATATCGCGATATTTGCAACCTCTTGACCGACTAGAGATCAGCCAATATTACTAATATACAGTACAGTCCTTCTAAATACTTATCCCGATTCCCTTCACCGTGGATTGTGTTGTGATGTTCGGCTTTCAATTGTGGCATACAGATCGACTCGAAAAAAACACAAAAAATTAAATTTTCGGTCCACTGCATTCCAACATTATTATCTGATCATCACCGAAGCGTTATCCTTGACCATACCTGGATCCTCATGGAAAATTTCAAAGCGATCCGCGCTATACTGTGTTTCTATATAATATCTGAGTACGTAAGCACCTGTAAATATTTAAGTGTAACTCCCAAATCCGAGTGCATATTACAATGTAATTGGTATCAATTTAAAGGCCATCCCATCCTCTTGGATATACTATCAACTTCTCGGGTCTATGTTCTTCAGGAGTAAATATATATGTCATAGAATACAAATTTTGTCATTTTTCCGACAAAAATCAGGGTCCATTTGACCCACTAAATATTGCCCGATCTTTATCAAAACAGTCATGCATATTCTTTGGCCCGATCCCCTTCTCCATGTAAAAATTCGCAATGTTTGGGCCATAATTGCGGCCTCTGGAGCGATCAGAAAAACCAACAAAAATTAAGTATGTAGTCCATTTCATCCCCTAAATATTAACCGATCTTTACCAAAAACAATAGGGGTCTTCATTGGCCAGAACCTATCCCACATGCTAAATTTCGTGAAAATTGGTGCATAACTGTGGCCTGTATCGTGTTTATAAATTATAATGGACAGACGGACGGACACACATGTTTTGATCGACTCAGCTAGTCGACATATGACGATCGGTATACTTAATGGTGGGTCTAGGACCAATATTTCGCGGCGTTACAAACTTTTGGGGCTGCACACAGCTATAAAACCCTGACAACATAGTTGTGTAGGGTATAAAAATTCACGCCTTGACAAAATATTTTTTTTTTTTCAAAACAACGCCTTAAAAAACTATATTTTAAAAGATCCAAGCGTTGAAAAATTATTTTCTAAAAAATTCTCGCCTGGAAAATAAATTTAAAAAATCTATGTCATGAACATTCATGTAAATACATGTTTTGATCATTTTTTTTTTTCAATTCAGACTTCGACATTTTTGTTAAATCCAAGCCTATACGTCTTGTTCTTTTTTAAATCCATGTCTTGAATTTTTTGAGTACGTGTTTTGAATTTTTTTTTAATTCACGTTTTGGAATTTTTTTAATTCACGTCTTGAACTTTATTTTATATGCGAGTTTAGATTTTTTTTTAAATCGGCGTATTAAAAAACTACTTTTAAAAAATCAACGAATTAAAAAATATTTAAAAAAAATCGACGGCTTAAAAAATATTTTTTAAAAATCCACCTTTAAAAAAGATTTTTTCAAATATCAAAGCCTTATTTTTTTAAATCTACACCTTGATCATTTTTTTTTTTTTTTGTTAATTTACGCTTTCATTTTTTTAATCCACACCAGGAACATTAAAAAAAAATACGCCTTGAAAAAAATATTTTAAAAAAAATTACGCTTGACAAAACTTAAACAAAAACGCATTGAAAAAAATTTTTTTTTAAATTACGCCTGGAAAAAAACTTTTTTTTTAATTACGCCTTGAAATTTTTTTTTTTAAATTACGCCTTGAAAAAACTTTTTTTTTAGGTTTGAAATGATTTTTTTTTATATTTACGCCTTCAAAACAACCTTTTTTAAATAATCAATATTTTCCCACAGGTAATATTTCAATCAAAGGCCCGCGACGAATTTTAAAATCCATTACGACGCGATATGAGATCAAGACACGTTCTACCGTCTTGTTGAAACCACATATTGATATATCAGAGTCAAACTAGATTTTAAGTACAATTTTCCTTTATCTTTGAATAATCCAAGCCAACTTAACATGCCACGACATAAATCATCTTATGTGTTTCCCCCTTAAATTGAATACCAAAGTAGGGTTAATAAAGAATAATTTCGAATTTTCCCTAACCTGCAAGAATCTACAAATATTAGATCTGTTCCCGTACTGCAAGAATCTACTACTTTTTACTACGATAACGAATTTTCCTTTATGATATCGAAGAAAATAGTAAAATCTAGTAGATTCTTGCAGTACGGGAACAGACCAATTACTAACAAACTTCAGGCATGGCATGGCATGTTATGTTGGCTTCTTTTATTGTAAAAGAATAAAGGAGAATGGCGTCCAAAATCAAAGTTGGCTCCGATCATGGCACAATGAATAGGTAGTTCATTTAGCGCAGCTGATGTCTCGATTAACTCTCAAAGTGGGTAATTTTACTTGAATTCCATGTGCAGTGTTGCCAACCATTTAAAATAATATAAGGAAAATTTTGACAGATAATCGGGACAAAAACAAATGTTTTTGTTTTGATACATTACCTTATTATTGCATCATGGCTCCGATATAACTTTCTTTTTTTACTGCCTTAAAACCAACATTAATCGAGGTATGACTTGTTCGCTTGGAGATAAATAATGTACTTTTTCACACATAATTGGTCTGTTCCCGTACTGCAAGAATCTACTAGATTTTACTATTTTCGTTATTGAAATTTTCCATGAGGATTCAGGTATGGTCAAGGGAAACGCCTATAATTTTCGATGATGATCATATAATAATATTGGGATGAAGTGGACCGAAAACTTATTTATTTATTTTTTTTTTTGTGTTTTCTCGAGTCGATCTATAGGCCACAATTGAAAGCCGAACATCACAACACAATCCACCGTGAAGGGAATCTGGACATGTAATTAGAAGGGCTGTATTGAATATTTCAACCTCGGTCAAGAGATTGAAAATATCGCGAAATATTGCCCAAGCTCAGAATATACAACCACGCAAAGTTGGATTTTCGTGGAAGTTGTGTAGGGTATAAAAGGTCGGCCCCGTCTGCCTATACTGCTCCGCTCACTGGTTTTATATATGTTTTATTTACGTGTACTTTTGAAACAGCGAAATCGAGTACAACTCCCATGTCTATATAATTGATATTAAGTTAACGGTCAAGCATTCCTCTTGGATACACAAATAAACATGCGAAAACATGTTATACACCCCTCTCTTAATGTCCTCTGAATTGAGAATTTCATGAAATTAAAAATTTAATTTACTTATTTTATTAAAACATGTCCTATGTAAATGTTATTTACGGTTATGTCAGTAGTCAAATCCAGTTTGACTGCTCTATTACAAATTAAATCGATAAACAAACGATTAATTATCGATTTCCTACCTACCATCAAAGCATGGCAAAAGTCGACTTATAAATCCCTAGTGTGTAATCACTAATGAAGCAAACACCGACGACGCGAGTGTAATTTCTGTTGAGTAAACAATTTTACCATCCAAAAGAAAATCGAAGCAAACAACCAAAAAGTTATTAATTGCAAATAAAACAATAATAAAGTTTATAAGAGAACATTAACAACAAATTAGAAAACTAAGAGAATAAAAGCAACAAAAATAAGTGCAAAATTTCATTGATAAAATTTCTTTTCGTCGCAGCTTTTGACGATTTGTAAAGAAACATGTAGAAAAAATTGTGAAAATTGAAACAGAGTGAAATAGGAATACAAAGTACGTAACGCAACGTTGGAGTGTGTGGCCGGGAAAGAGATGCCAATATAGTCGTGTGAAGGACGTTGTTTTGTTGTGTCGTTTTTGTTTTACTTCTTTGGTTCGTCGTTTATTTTATTTTTGGTTTGCAAAGCGAGAAAAACAAGGAAATTTCTTTCACACTGAGCAGATGATGATGGCGCGATAAATGAGTTTTATAAAGCGAAGGAACAAAAATAAAAATTATAAGTAAACATAAATTGCATTAAAATATACAAAATTGTGTATTAAAATACGTAATATATATGTGAAAACTAAATACGGCATATGAAGACTCGGCAAGAAAATACAAAATAAAATAACAAGGAAGAAGAAGAAGATATACCATAATAAAAAAAGAAACCAAAAACAAGGTTGGTTTTGTGTGCGCGCAAAATTTGTGTCTACGAGCAAATTTAATCAGGAAAACACATTTTATTGGAGAAATTGTTGATATAAAGGCTTCAAACTGGATAACATTATGGGCAGCTCAGATGATCGTGTTTACGCTGCAGAGCGTATTATACAAAAACGCATTAGAAAGGTAAACAACCATTTGAAATAAAATATGTAACAAATATTAATATTTATTTAAATTGCCTCTAATTCAAGTCATGAATAACCAAGCACTACATTTTTGTTGGCTGACATTTGTTGTCCTTCAGTTTTGTATATTTGATTACTTTGGAGTCCTTGTTGCTTCTTCTTTTTAATTGTATTGTAACCCAAAACACCAAAGGCATTGACAATAACAACAACAACACCAAAATCGTCATCATTACCATCAACACCACCACCACCACCATCATCCAATCAACAACACACCAATTTGCCCTACCAACTGTAATCCTCTTAACATCTGCTGGCAGCTGTTATTTTTCCTTCATTGGTCCTGTTTTCTGTTCATTCACAAAATTGCCCATAAAATAATGAAGGCAACGTCGGCAACATGTAGTAGTAGGTTCCTGTATTCCTTATTTACGCATTACGTTACACAGAGTATAAAATCGGTCTTCTGTGTAGATATGCGTGTTGTCTCGTGCTCATGTTTTGTTGTTATTTTCTTTTGTCGTCATCTGCTATAATATGGGGTCTACCTTTTTGTATATCTATATTTTATTCAAACATTTGTTGTCTTTTTTGCGGTAAAAACAAATGCAAGAATTAACCGAACTTATCGTCTTCAACAGTACATAGATATTTCCATATTTTTTTTTATTTCGTAGCATGCACAGTGGTTGGAAAATGGTAAAGGACTTGGGCCCAGTAATTTATAACAAATATATTTAAAGAGTGGTACAATTTTTTGAGATAGATGGTTTATTTCCTAGTACATATTGATTGATATATGTCGATAATAAAACATTTTCAGACAATTTTTCACAATGGCCATGCCTTTTTAATGAAATGTTGCATAATTAGATCGCAAATTAACTACTTATGTTCTCGATAGTCCGGATTCTACTTTATGTTATTGAATCGAGGATAAGCTGTTAAGGAATACCTTCTGTTCACGTGGCCACAAACGTGCAATTCTAGGTGTTAAATCACAAGATGTATGTGATTAATTGTTATCACATCACGGTCCAATGATTGAGGATGGAGAGTCTTTTCAACAATAACTCCTCAGTTTGTTTATGTATGGACCTAGGTGGAAATGGTCTTAATCAGCCTAAATGATTTTTCCAAAAAATGCAGACAGTTCAGTCTGAGGTTATACCCTCAGACTATAAATCTATATAAATCAGACTATAAATCTATAGTCTGAGGGTATAACCTCAGACTTAACTGTCAGCATTTTTTGGAAAAATCATTTAGGCTGATGAAGACCATTTCCGAAGTATCACGGAATAACACACAGGTTTTATTATTCGTTGTACAATAGGTATACTTTTTCATCAAAGAGGTGACCATTTTTTGGGGAGGCACCAGAAGAGGTTGCCCTATAGACCTCATCTTTGAATTTAATGCAGGCTTGGAAAAATATTACGATTCGCAATGTTTGGATCGAAACAGAACTTCTATTATCATGATATTGAATTTACAAAATTTCAAAATGTTGACACTTTGTGAGGAAGTTAACAGAAGTAGAGGAGCAACGGGTCCCATATTCAACCTCGATCTATGTAAGCTAAATATATTACCATGTGTAATATATTAATCCAGTGAGCGGAGCAGTATAGTCGGACGGCGACGACCATACAACTATAAGTACAACTATACAACTATCACGGAACTTTAACATTCTGTTGGTGTTTATTCCGAGCCTGAGCATTATTTTTAATATTTCCACCTTCTTGCCAGATCAGAGGTCTTCCTACACTTGTCCACAGCCCTTCTACACTTGTCCAGATTCCCTTCATCGTGGGTTGTGTTATAATTGTGGCAAATTTATCGACTCAAAAAAAAAAAAAAAAAAAAAATCTCACATAAAAAATAAATTTTGGTCCACTTCATCCCAAAGTTATTATCTGGTCATAACAGAAAATTAAAGGCGTTGTCCTTGACCATAACTGGAACCTCATGGAAAATTTCAAAGCGATTTGCGATATATTCCCATCCTTTTGTATGGTAATGGGTTACTAAATACTATCTGAATACGTAAGCTCCTGTAAATATTTAAGTGTAACTCCAACATCCAAATACAAACGGCAATAAAATTTGTATCAATTTAAAGATAAACCCCTCCTCTGGCATATATATAGAATACAAATTTTGTAATTTTTCACACAAAAGTCAGGGTCCATTTGACCCGCTAAATATTGACCGATCTTTATCAAAACAGGCATGCTTATTCTTTGGCCCGATTCGCTTCTCCATGTATAAATTCGCGATGTTTGGACCATAATTGCGGCCTATGGACCGACAAGAAAATCAGACAAAAATAAAGTTCTTGGTCTATTTCTTACCCTACATTTTAACCCATCTTTAACAAAAACAATAGTGGTCTTTATTGGCCAGAACCCTATATGCTGAAGTTGGTGAAAATTGGTGCATAACTGTGGCCTGTATCGTGTTTACAAATTGTAATGGACAGACGGTCGGACGGACACACGTGTCTAGATAGACTCAGCTAGTCGAGATATGACGATCGGTATACTCAATGGTAGGTCTAGGATCAATATTTCGCAGCGTTACAAACTCTTGGGGCTATACAAAGCTATAATACCCTGACAACATAATTGTATAGGGTATAAAAATGTTTACCCTTTGTTGAGGAGGTACTGGAATTAGTGGACCAATGGTTCCGATCTTTAAATTTGACTTGCTTATTATAACCTTGCCACAGAAAACAGTTTCAGGCATGGCCTTCAATGGGCATGGAATTAAACAACTTTAATAAAACCGGAGAATTTAAATTCTCCTATCTTGCTCTGAATTATAGTCTACAGTCTCGACACCTCATATTCTTTACACAAATCCAACATGTGCCCAATGAACTACCTGCAGATCACCGAGTGGATTTACAGCTGTTATGTTGGTCCAGCATAATTCTACATGAAATATATAATAATTTTAAGTAATAATTAAAAATGCTGTTTCAATTGCAATATGCAAATATTTGAACATTCAATATCCCTACAATTCCCCCGAGGCTAACATATTTGGATAAGTAGCAAACCATTATCATTTGAAAGCCTTGAAAAGAAATTCCCTGTTGTCTAACAATGTCTTACCTCAAGGACATTTCATGGCTTAAAATAAACAGACTGTTGTCTTTAACATTAGTTGATCCCTTTTGCATCTTCTTCACATTTTTCTCACTTTGATCCCGGGGTAATTTTGTGTGTGATACCTGAGGGACAAATGTTTCATTTCATTTGAAGTGTACAATTTACACAGCTAATGAGTTATTAGTTCTACCTACATTTCCTTAGACCAATTTTCGCTGTAGTTTTTCTGTTTTTTGTTATTGGATGTTTGTGGTTCCTTGTTTTCATTCGTTATGATTATTTATCATACAGCTGTTGTGTTGTATGAGTGTGTGTGTCTTATTTTAATAAGCATCCTTTTTTGTTGTTGTTGCCGTCGTCAATGTTGTTGCTTTTGTTTGATCACCCAACAGACACCTTTTTGTGTCTCTGTGAGTGTTTTTGTGTGAGAGTCCTTAGGTTGGCGACAGACGGAATTCCATTTTTCCTACTACTACCGTTCCGCATCATTTGTTTTATGTCATAGCTCCCTATACATCTGCAATATGTATGGTGTGCCTGTGAGTGTAGGCACGTTCTATTTTGTAAATTAAAATTTTTGTTTTATTTGAAGTATTGGTATATCATTGCATGCATTTTCTGTCCTGTGAATACATTTCCATGCCGCCAAATATATTTTTATTTTATTACCACCTTTCCCTGGGGATTTAGAGTTTCATCGGGTATTGTAATGTTCAGTATTTTGTTGTATTTCCGACTTCATTTGCGCCATTTTTTCAAATTTATTTGCTAAGTATTCCTTGGAATTCGTCCTTACCAAGGTTTATTAATAAGGTTAACAGGGAGGCGAATTCAAAGTCTTCATTGTGCACATTACTATCATTACGTTTTCCTGTTCTGGTTGGTATTTCGCGATTAAAATGTTGACAGCAAGAGAAGACTAAGGCATGAATTTGCTAGCCTGTTAACCTTATGAAAAAAACCTTGGTCCTTACAAATAATCTAGACTAATGCAGAGGTTATTGAGCATTGTTACCTGCATGGACAATTTTATTGTTTGCCTCAATGTTGGAGCATTATATTTGACACGTTTCCTTCAGGTTTGAACACAATATTGAGTTTGACAAATGGATTTCAAATGAAAATATAGATTTTGACGATTAGGATGCACAACTTAATGACTTGAACCTGCTGTCTTTTGGGTGGTCATAGTTCATTCGACGCAGATCAGTCCATAGATTTTCCGGAGAATTTTTCTCTCAAACACTCCCAGAACTACCTCATCTGCTTGCGCAAGTACCCATGCTTCAGATCAATATAATAGCACGGTAGTATCTGAGTTTGGTCTGGCGAGAGGTGGCCTTGCTTTTAAGCTTACTCAGACCATAGTAGCATATGTTGGCCAACACTATTCTCCTCCGGATTTCAAAGCTAATGTTATTAGTTTTGCTTATGGCGTTACTGAGGTATATAAAATTGTTCACTGCCTCGAAGCTGTAGTTCTACAGCTGGTTCGAGTCTACTGGACGTCTTGCGCGATAATACCATAAGCATGGTCATCTCGCCATTTACTGCCAGTCCCACGTTGCCGGACTCCTTCTCAATTCGTTCAAAGGTGGTTGTTACCGTTCGCAATGTTCGACCCATTATCTCGTTGTGGTCAGCGTAGAAGAGTAATATATGCTGTTTGGAGTACAGAGTGCCATTTCTGTTCACATTTGCATCTCGTATGACGTTTTCCAGCAGGATGATAAAGAGTTCACATGACAAACTGTTACCTTGTCTGAATCAGGTTTTTTTTTTTCTACACGGGACACAGGAAGTAAAAAGTACTAATCAGCTAGTTCATACTCTTGAATAATTCGGCTGGTAATTCATCGGCACTTGCTGCTTTATTGTTTATCAGCCGATTAATTGCTACTTTGATCTCATCTTGGTTAGGTGGTATACACTCTGCACGGGACACAGGAAGTAAAAAGTACTAATCAGCTAGTTCATACTTCTGACCAGCATCTGACCACCGGTCTTGAATAATTCGACTGGTAATTCATCGGCACCTGCTGCTTTATTGTTCATCAGCCGATTAATTGCTACTTTTATCTCATCTTGGTTAGGTGGTATACACTCTATACCGTCATCTCTAATTGGTTCTTATCTTCTTCATCGCCATTATGTTGTTAACAGAAGCTTTTCAAAATCATCCTTCCAAATCCTCAACACGCTATCTATATCTGTCACCAGCTTTCTATCTCCATCTCTAAAGGAGAAAATGGACAGGATGTAATAATTTATTACGTGTTCTTGGTTGTTTAAAAGAATTCTTCGCAGAAAAATGTCAATATATGTCCCGTAGCATCCACATAAAAGTCCCTTCCTGTTTTAGGTTCTATGTTCATTTTCCAAAGAAAAAAAATATTCCTTTTTCAAACATATTCTTTAATTAATTTGCAATATTAAAAAAAAATCCTCATTTCAATATCAACCAAAATACTAACATATTTTTTCTCATTTCTAGGGCGTTGTGGAATATCGTGTTAAATGGAAAGGTTGGAATCAACGCTACAACACATGGGAACCCGAGGTAAATATACTTGATCGACGGCTCATTGAAATCTATGAACAGGGTAACAAATCATCAAACACCCCCTCTAAACGTGGTCCGAAAAGGAAGGAAAAAGAACGTGATCCCGAACCGGAATCCGAAGAGGATGAATACACGTTCAACGATGACGATGGTCACAGCAACAGTCATACCACCGCAACATCTTCAAGTGCGGCGGCAAACACCTCAATGTCACAATCAATATCAACAAATACAGCTTCACCATCAACCTCCGTCTCAAATGATGCCATCTCCACATCACAGCAACAGCATCATCGTCATCATCATCACGACAAGGACAAAGATAAGGATAAAGAAAAGAAACATCATCATCACCACCACCATCATCATCATCACAAGGCAGAACGTTTGAATAGTCGGCGATCAGAATCACCTCTTACCCATGCTGAGAATAAACGACAAAAATCAGCGTCGACCGATCATACCGCCACAAATAACACAAACACCTCCTCATCTTCCTTGGCCTTTATACCGGAAGCCGATTCTAATTCATCAAGTTCCGAAGATCAGCCACTGAGTCGAAAAGAAGTTGTGGGCACAAAGCGTAAGGCAGAAGTATTAAAGGAATCGGGTAAAATTGGTGTGACCATTAAAACATCCCCAGATGGTCCGCCACCTGCCAAGATTCATTGCTCAGTTGATACAGCTACGCCAATTTCAACACCGTTGAAGGCGGAAACTGAACCCCTCTCACCCGAAACACCAGCCTCAAGGCCTGAACAGGCAACACCCTCAGAAAAACCTCAGCAGTATAATGGCCACCAGCAACAGCAGCAGCAACAACATCATCACCACCACCAACAGCAGCAGGATGATGATGACGATGAATCATCATCACAAGCAGATAGCCAGCACGAAGCGGAAAACAATCATTTGCCATTGATTAACAACAACATCAATTCCAACAATCAGCAGCAACCGCACCAACAACATCGTCAGCAACAACATTTAGATGTGATTTATGAACATTCACCTCCCAAACAAAAATCCGCACCCTTAACCCCACTATCACCGCCAGCGTTACCACCACGCTTTTGGTTACCCAGCAAATGTAACATCGCCAATAAAGTCGTTATTACCGATGTGACAGTGAATTACGAAACAGTGACCATACGAGAATGTAAAACTGAAAGAGGCTTTTTTCGTGAACGGGATATGAAATCAAGTGATTCGGTGGCCTAAAATGTTATACAATAAATACAGAATGAACCACACATCCCCCATACCCCCCACAGCCAAATAAAGATGCGCTAGTAGAAGAAAATTGAAATTCAATGAAACACATAACAAAAGGGATAAAGAAAACTTCCTATGAGGCACTCCATGAGACTAAAAAAACGTAACTGAATGTAAAGCAGGACTTTAAGTCAAGATTTGCTACAAACATATATCTATATTTTTATATACAAAAAAAAAAAAGAAAGAATGAAAACAAGAATCAGAAAAAGGGAATACTCTATTTATTTTTCTATAAGCAAATTTTGACACCAGGAGCAAGGAGAACATTTTGATGGCGTTTTTCCAATTCATTGTTTTTTCCATCTTGAAATATTAACAACAAATGGAAACAAGTAAACATAGAATAGTAGTATTTGAAACGATTGTTGCTTACCTAGATTATTGTATATACGTATATATTAGATGAAGCAGAATAAGAAGAAGAAAATAATGTAGTAATTTCTATATTATGGCGGAATTATTTACAAAACAAAACAAATATTTATGCAAGCAAATACACTTACATATGATGAACAAACATGATTTACCTCTGCAAGGTATATTTCTTTTTTAATTTAAACGCGAAATTTATTTTGATTAATGCTTTAAAATGAGATATATATTTCGAGAGGAAATGAACGAAAAAATGTGAGCAAGGAAATATTTTAAATTTGAATAATATTAATTAAGAGAGGTGATTATTTTAATTTACCAACAGTCGTTATTGTTCGCAACAACATCAAACAGTATTGCTGGGCAATCGGTAGGTTTTCTAACATGAATCAATGTTTCTCTGTTAAGGACACAATTTCTTTCAAATCGGATTAGAGTTAATGAAATGAAAGAATGTTATCAATGATTTTCTTTTTATTCCTACAGAAGCCATGAGGCCTACTACAACATCGAATAATATGAAATAAAGTATAATTTCTGATTATACCCTACACAACTATCTTGTCAGGATATTATAGCGTTGTGCAGTCCCAAGAGTTTCTAACGCCGCGAAATGTTGGTCCTATACCCACCTTTCATATCAATCTTTCATTTCATATTTCATATCTCGGCTAGCTGAGTCGATCTAGACAAGTGTGTCTGTCAGTCTGTCCATTATAATTTGTAAACACGATACATGCCACGGTTATGGACCAATCTTCACGAAGTTTTGCATGTATGTTAGTGGATGAAATGGACCAAAAACTTTATTTTTGTCTGATTTTCTGTTCGCTCCAGAGGCCGCAATCGCGAATTTTTACATGGAGAAGGGGATCGGGCCAAAGTATAAGCATGCCTGTTCTGATAAAAATATATATATATATATATATATATATTTATATAGCGTATATATTTACCCTTGAAGGTCATAGATCCAAGACGTTGATAGCATATCTAAAAGGAGTGGTTGACTTTTAAATTGATACCAATTTTATTGTCGTATGTACTCGGAAGTGGGAGTTACCCGTAAATATTTACAGATTCTTACGTATTCAGATATTATTTAGTAACCCATTACCACACTAGAATGTGGAAATATAGCGCTGATCGCTTGGAAATGTTCCATGAGGATCCAGGTATGGCCAAGTACAGCGCCTATAATTTTCGGTGATGATCAGATTATAATATTGGGATGAAGTGTACCGAGTCGATCTATTGGCCACAGCTGAAAGCCGAACATTACAACACAACTCACGGTGAAGGGAATCTGGCAAGTAATTAGAAGTACTGAACTGAATATTAGTAATATTTGTTGACCTCTAGTCTCTTGACCGACTAGGGTGCAAATATCGCGAAATATTGTCCAGGCTCAGAATATAGAACAGCAGATAGTTATATTTTCGTGGTAGTTGTGTAGGGTATCATATGATCGGCCCCGCCCGACTATACAGCTCCGCTCACTGGCTTTTGAATTATTTATGGCATGAAACCCTATGAGGAATTTTTTTAATACCCTCAATCTTATGACAAATGATACGATTAGAAATATACCTCATCGAAATATTGGTTTAAAATGTTGTCTGAACCAAAGCCGGTTCAGACAATTTGGAATGAATTCGATTTTCCAAACGTCCATCTGTTTGGCAGGCTAGAGTGCACTAAACTTTGTAATATTTTTTTCCTAAGTCCTTTACATGTCAGACGATAGATCCTATCGGTCCAATTCGACCCCAAATAATCAATATTTTTAAAATTAGTAAAGATTTGGTGATAATCCGAATTGACTCAAACTTGGTATATTGTAATATTTTTACTAAAACTAGGTCACATCTTAATTATATTTCCGATTTGATCCACGTCATATTTTTCGCATATCAGACATGGTCAATCCACTTCGGGTATTGGATGTATGGAGCAAAGTTACTCTAGATTTTTGATATGATTGTGAGATGCTTTATATGCAATTGTAATATCAATTTTCCAATAGGCCTTCGCATTTCCTGCAATTTGTTCATAAGGTGGCGTTCTGGTTTATAGAAAGGATTAGGTATTTTGCAAGATATTTTCAATGAAGGTTCCCAGACACATTTTCCAATCCGAGTGTCTTTATTATCGCATTCCGATTACTATAAGGGCCCGCAATGTCTTAGGGATTTTAATGAATATTGTCATTAGCGATTAGGCTACAAGTTGGAATTTAGGGTTCTAAGATAATGAATGCAGAATGTATTTAATTAAAGTCAATGTTTTGATATAGCCTCTTGCCTCGTTTTCGGTGTGCTGATGACTCGGCACGAACTTTCTAGACCTATGTGTCTGCAATTTTGTATTTCAATATCACAGAACAAGAAAAACATCCTGGCAGATAATTTACAACGTAGGACAATGTTTTGACAAAGCCCTCATATAAGGCTCCAGACAAGTTTCTTCTGGTCGAACTTAACGACTTTTTATAGCCTTATATCTAATCGAAATATTGGTCTTAGACCCCATGTTTGTTTGGACCAAATCCGTAACCGATTTTTCTGCTCTCCTGCAGTTTTTACACATCGTATATTAAGTCTGAAGATGGATCGATCAGTCCACTCCTTCGGGTACCTCTTCCACAAAGGGTGAAGATTAAAATAAATGTAAATTCAATTTGCAGCGGAGTGAATAACCTATTTGATCCATTGTTTGCACATCGTAATATTTTATCAAACCTACATTAAATCCGACAAGATGGGGTCCATACGACAACCTCTTCTCATGCCTCACCAAAGATGACCATAAAGCGAATAATGAAAACTGTGCAAACCATAGTATAATGGTAGATATTTGTCGACACACTGGTTGATTCTTATTGTCCTTGTATAATTGTTTGTTGTTTAATTTTCAGATGCGAATACCCGAGTCTTATTAAAATAACCATTCTGATTCCATACTGATTTTTTTGGTGTTCGATGTTGTTGGGACAAACAAAATGTTTGGCTTGTAAATGGGACAAAATTATATTATACCGTTTAAAAAATTTGCCACACTGATAAAAAACATATTCTTGCATTTTCAAATATTCTCAAGCATGTCAATTTGAATCGAATTAATTTGACATATATGTATGTAAAATTACTAAATTCACTTCCATTCGATTTGCAATATATTTTGAACTACACACATTATAAATTATTTTATTTTTTTTAATATTTATTAATTTGATATATAAAATAAAATATATATTTAATCATTAAATATTTTTGCAGAAACCCATATATATCTCATCTACAAACGTTTGTAAATAAACATATTAAATAAAAAAATATATTATAAAAAATTATATCTTTTGAATTTATGGCAGCTATGAGTTGCCATATTTATTTAGACATTCGTTCATTTCGTAAAAATACAAATGGAAAAAGAAAACAAATGATATTTTTTAGAATCTATTTTTTTATTAATAACAAAATTATTAAAACCATAAACTTTTATTTAAATTGAACCAAAAATTATTTCTTAAAACAAAAATAATAAATACATTATTAGAAATAAAAAAAGGTTATTATTAATTATATGAAAATAAAAAGAAATTAATTTAGTTGTGTATATTTATTGTGCTTAATTTTTTTATAATACTTTTTACGTGATGACAATTGAATGAGTTTGTAAATCATACGCTTTGATCATAATATGTTAATAGAATTACCTTGCCGTCACGGGTAAAGAACACAAAATATCTTTAAAAAAAACATCGTAATGGTGTTGTGCACGTTTATTTTGGTTCGAATAAAACTATTTTTTTCTTATTTATTTTTCAAACAATAAATTTTGACAGTCAACGAAGAACATTGGCGAGGATGGTATATATTTTCACGGCATATTAATTTTTTTTCGAGCAAAATATGAAATAAAAACCAGTTTTTTTTTATTTTCATCAAAAATACCTGACCAAAAAAGCCAAACAAAAAGCATCAATGATTAAATAAATTTTTTTACTTTAATTGCCTTCTCAAAATTTTAGTTCATTTTGCAAGAAAGTCGTGTGATTAGTATAACTCATTCAATTCATATCGCATAAATAATAATCATAATTTACTACGGGACTACTAAAAATGCAAAATATTTTGCCAAAGCCTAAAATTATGTATCAACTTTTTTGAAACTAAGACAAATAATAAATGCCTTATTTCACATGCAAAATTCTAAACTATAACTCAACATCTGCTGATAAGTTTTAGAAATAGAATCAGTGTTTTTAATAAATAAAAAAAAAACTAAAAAATAAAAACAGAAATGATGGCATATAATATGTGTATGTATGTTATAATGAATGGTCTGTTCCCGTACTGCAAGAATCTACCAATTTTTACTATTTTTTCCGATACTTTTTCCGATTACTACTTTTTCCGATATTATCGTAGTAAAAAATTGTACATTCTTGCAGGTTCTGGAACAGATCAGAAATCTGTTAACATAAATCAAAATCGATATTAGGAAAAAATCATGGCACAATTATAAAAGGTAACAGCAAAACCCAGTTGATTTGATTTCAACATAAT